GACACAAAGTGTCGAGTCTCTGACTCATATTCCAAACCTATACTGCTTTCTCCGCAATAATTTCATTTATTAACTTGTGTCTTATACTTATTGTACAGATACGGATGCAACAAATCAGAAAATAAAAGAATTGGAAGAAAAACTAGCGATGCTTCAGACATCTAAGGAAGGTAAGCATTATGAATAACTCTTATTACTATTTTCTCGCTTCATTATATTGTGATATCATGAATGTTTGGTATATCGCTTACGTTTATTAATTTACAATTGTCTCTTTAGCTCCCTTATACTTTCAGTACTATACTGATTCACAAGTTCATTGTGTTAGTTCTGGCGCTTGGGAGGACTTTATTCAACTGCATGACCATTTAAAAAAATGCTTCAATATCGAAGGTCTATTGAAAGATTATGAGTTTATTATTGGTGATGAAAAAATGAATTTTGGCTGGACAAAATCGCAATTTATTGACTTCCTTAAACAACAGAAATGTTCGATTGATAATCCAGTCCGGATATCTGATGTAAAAAAAGGTATGATATTCAGTCACTAGCCGATCACAAATAATCTGAATTAATGCAATCTTATCTTGTTACTCTTACTACTTAGGAAAAGCGGATGAACCGTCAAGTAAGCTGATTACGAATAGTATTATTCTATTGGCGATTTTTGAGCGAAGTTTAATTATTTCTTGTACATTCTATATTAGAGTCGTTATATCGTCCTAGAAGTGAGGAAGATGAGGAAATCGTCCAGAAAGCTTTTAATAGAACTTTTCAAGATCCAAGTAACCTTTCGAAAAGGTTTATACAATTTATTGACAAGTGTCTAGATGAATACAATACGATTGGCAGTTATTATTATGCGCCATATTCAACCTTAATTCAAGCCAGTGGTGTAGGAAAATCCAAATTATTGATAAATGTTGCTGAAGAGATAATGACAGTTTATTGCTGTTTGCGGAAACCCGAATCAAGTGGCTATCCACCCAGATCGGATATTGCCAAAATGCTAATAAAGGAGTTTAATAATGAACAAGATGCCAAAGCTACCTACCTTGCGTACATATGCGCATGCTTTCAAAAGATGCAAGATTTCGGTGGAGATTGTAAGAAATGGTTGGATGAGCATACCAATAAAAATTTGCAAGAAAATTTTTGGAGAGATGTTGAAAACAGAATGAAAAATATAAAGGACCATTTAATGACATGTTCTACGGATAGCGAGACAACTGACTTGGTCGAGAAATATTTGGTTAAAAAAAACACAGCAATAAAACGAGAAGGTCCAGTTAAATACCTTTTTGCATTCGATGAAGCTAGTACACTGGTTGGTAATAAGGATGGAAGTAAAAACGTTAGAAAAATTTCACCGTTCTATTATATTCGACGCGCTTTAATTCTCTTACCTAAAGGAGCAGGAATTTTTGCGGTCTTTACGGACACACATTCAAATATTTCGAACTTTTCGCCTGCTTATTACCTCGATCCATCTAAAAGAGTTGCAGAAGAAAATTTTAAATTATTTGCACCGTTTTATTTGTTAGACACTACGGACATGAATGTTAATTTTAGGGAGGTAAAGACATTAAAGGAGTCAGAAGATCCACGACATTTCTTTCAGTATGGAAGACCTTTGTGGGGTGCACTATTAATGCCTTCTAGTGATACTAAAGGAATGGAATCAGAACGTATTATCGAATTGGCCATGGATAAGCTTATTGGCGGAAAATATTTCGGTGTTTGGAGGGAAGAAGTACAAATTAAAATATTGGATGCTTTGGCTATTCTAGGACCCCGTTTGTGTATCGAAATAGCGCCACAATCTGGATATGCGCCTGATTTAATAGCAAACAATATGCGCCTTTGTATTAGTGTCTTAGAGGATCGTAAATACGTTGTTACATC